GGTTCAACAGGGGACCCGTTCAGTCCAATTCTTCATCTCTTTGCCTCACTCCAGAGGTTTCTTTCTCCTATAGAAGGACCAAATGTACCCTTCTTTATGGCACACCACCTGCTGATCAGAATCATCATCACCACCATCAGTTTTCTCCTGGGTTTGATGGCCGCTTGCAGCTCTGCTATGGGGATGGAAGCAGACAACATTCAGACCACAAGGGAAAAGGAAAGAACTGATCATCACCTCATTAATGTTCTTCCCCCATCTTCTCTATCCCCCAGGTATGTTCTTACTTTATTACATTTCATTCATGCTTCTCCTACCTATATTTTCTTTTGAATAAAATCTTGAAATGGGTTTCTGTTGTCTTGGTGCTTGTGTTGTTTCTTTGTTGATTGCTTTTTGGATTTACTTGGTTTGTGCAGTACCATGTAATTTTTTCACTTTCTTGGTTTTCATATGAAAAGCAAACCATTGGTTGAGGGTAGGGGGTAGGGGGGAGGGGGGAATTATTTATATATATATATATATTTACATATAATAATTAATATATATATCTATATATACATATATATACATATTTGCTTTTATGATTCCTGCATGGATTGCTGCAATATCTGAATCGGCTGGTTGTCTCCTTGTCTGTTCTCTTGTTGCTTCCCTCCACTCTAACATCTGCAACTCCATGCCAGGTGTTAGTTTGTCCATGGCCATGACATGTGTTGAGCTCTGAAAAGTTTTCAACTTTCAAATCCATGGCTGTGACACCACATGGACAAAGGGTTTTCGACATAAAAAATGTTGATTCAAACCCAACAATCATTCATAAAACTCTGGTTGACTTCACATTTATACAACTTTTAGGTAACTGAAAACCTGAAACTTATGCATGAAAAATGCCCTGAAAACATACCAGCATAGATATATTTTATATATATATATATATATATATAAATATGCAAGTATGCAGTTTGAGGTTTTTAGTGAATGAACAGTGAAGAAAACATAAGGATATATTTTCAAGGATATATTGAAACCTTTCACTGGCAGTTACTTTAGGCTGTTTAGGGACCTTTTAGGCTGTATCAGTTTTACCTTGATGTTTTGAGTCATCAATGAAAAAATAAAAATTTTGCTGATATATATAAAAATATGTTAATGTGCATATACACATGTTTGCTAGGATGTACTTGCTAATATATATAGGAGTTAAGCTTTCTAGGTCATTTTAAGTTTTGGCTAGCCAATTTCTTAACTTGGGTTCTTATGAGTGTGATTGGGAGAAGTGAATTTTATAAAAATTTGTGAAAATATTCCTTTATAAATATTAGTTTTTTTTATATTAATAGCTGTTGGAGCAGATATGCAAATTTACTATTTTGAAGCAAAACTACAAGAATATATTTTAAAACTATTTAAGTTTACCCAATTTAAAAGAGCAATAGCTATAAAGTAAACCATGCATATACTAGTATCTTTCTTGGTGGAAGATATCTTTCACATTGTTTATTAAAATTGTATTATTTCCTATTTAGTTTGATTGACCCCAAAATAATAACCATCTAAAGTTTGAATCTTAATTTGACACAAATCGATTTTGAATAAGATACTTTACTCGGTTCATCCTCATTCACTCATAAAATATGCAAACAAGTCTAAAATAAATCGGATTATTCCTTTACAACTTTTAAAATGTTAAAACTTTTACTTAACATTCTATCTTTTTGTTAAAAAAAATTTAAAAAAGCCATGATTTTTTTCTTCTTGTCTTCTCAGGATATAGTATTTAAATTTACCTAAGCTAATCTAACTCTATATTTTTAACTTCCAAGAGAAAATAACAAAACTTGCAGTGTGTAAGTACATGACTGTGCATAGCCCCTTGGAAGTCCAAAGCTTCAATGTTATTCCCTTTTTAAGTTTCCAAACTCTAAAATAGAACTTTGTACTTTTTTATTTTCAAATAAAAACTTGATTCCCTAAAATATTTTCTAGTTATATCACTTGTTTAAATTCTAAAATATCAGTGTGAGATTCTAAAACAAAAATATATTTCAAAATTTTCTAAAATATTTTACTTCAAGTATTTTTAGAATTTAAGATTTAAGTTATTAAATTAAAATATCGAACCTCAAGATTCATTTCGATTCAAAAAGTTAAGATTTTGATTCGTAATTCAAATCTCAATTCATTTTGGCCATTGTTCTTGTTTTTGTGGGGCATAAGACTTTATAATCATACTCATTGTAACTCCATTAAACTTCAACCTAAGAAAAGATAAACCGGCATTGTCAAACTCCTTATGGAGTAGAATCTTCAAACTGAGTGTTGAGTGAAATTTGTTCAAGAATTTTTTAGACTAGTAAAAGCTACCTAGTAGAGAAAGTAAAGTTCTTAAGAGTAAAGGACAGTAGAAACCCCTTGCAAATTAATGACCCATGTACTTAATTTTTGCAGAAAGTTGGGTTTTAACTCTTGGGAGAAAATTAATTGGGGGGGTCTGTAATTCTACATGTAGGTATCTATTTTCCCCAGATATGTTTAAATTTAGTAGCAAGTGGTTGGAGTAGATTGAAATATTTTTTAAACATTTTTCCCTAAAATCTGGTCTCTGGTTTCTCACAAGATGGCACTTTGCTATCAGTATTCATTAAGTTTTTTAAGTCTAAAATATATATTATCCTCTATTTCTATATCATAAATATATTTATAATGTAGAACTACCTTTGTTCTTTTCCTGGGAAAGGAATACCATTTCTCTTTTGTTGTAGTAAATTCCCATTTTTGAAAAATGTAGTTAAGATAAATTCAGTCAAGAAATCTGTAACAGTGCTCTCAAGACCAGATCCATACAACCTTGAAGCATCATCAAACACAAACCCAGATAAAATTACATATATACAAGACAAACTCAAGGGAAAATGATAGAATATATCATGATTATGATAAAAAATCTCGGGCATAAATGCATTGAAATTAATAAACTAGATCACTGACCTATAGAAGATAATCTGGTTTGGTGGAAGACAAAAGTGAGAATCTTTATTACTTCGAGAGTGAATAAAATTTTCTGCAGTAAAAGAAATAAAAAATTTACACAATGTATTTATTATAGAGATAAACAACTGACACCCATGTAACACAAACATTTTTTGAAATAACCCATGTAATACAGACATATTTATATATCTGCATGTCAGCTGCCCTTTTTCTGCTGTTGGTGTTGGATATAATATGTTGTGATTATATCTAGCCTATGCATATTTATCACAAAGATTTTATATAGTACTTTTCAAAAAAAAAAAAAAAACAACAAACTCAAAGGATGATCGCCAAAAAGGTTTCCAACCCAATGGTAGCTCTACAGTAAAAGCAAAAATAAGAACTTCCAAAGGCTTTCTTGTTTCTATCTTTCTAGGTTAACCAAAAGATGGCATGAGTAACGGGAGACAATTTTCTCCTAGCCAAGATTTCATTCCATATATAACTCCTCCTTAATCGAACTATGAACCACCTAACTGACTTTTTTTTATAAGTTCAAAGAGTTAAATCCATAGCCTTCTAGTTTTAGGACGCAAGAGAAGAAAAGAAGTGCCACATCAATCTGGTGATTTGGAAAGAGAGAAACAGTAGGATTTTTTAAGGGGATAGAAAGAGAGATTGTTAAAACTAAAGATAGGTATTTTCATTATTTTCAGTCCGTGATTTTGAGATATAACTTAAATAGGATAAGATTTTGGAATCATTGTTGATATGCTTACAGACTTGTACATACTTTGTATATGGGTGGCACTCATTTGGTGTCAGATGATTCAATACACAACTTATACTTTTTATTAAAAAAAAAAAAAAAAAAAGTACCACATCAAGCACCCACTGGCCAAGTTCTTAAGTTTTTTGATGGTCAGGTACCTCCCTCATAATGCTTCACATGTAAAAAAAAAAAAGAAAAGAAAGTAATCAATCCCAGGGTTGCTTTTGTTTTACCATTTGATTTTGATAGAGAACCTGCCATCTTTAAATGGTTTGAGAAGTGTATCAACAAAGGTTGGGTGAGTAGAAGAAAGCTCCATCCTTGCAAGAAGGATCTCCTAATCATTTACATTATGGAGAAGGGAGATTCTCCACTAGATTCCACCAATATATTACTATATGTAGTTAGTAATATGTCTTTACAATATTTTATAGATAAAGTTTTTGAAGACCTAGTAGTTATGCTTTAAACCCTATGAGGTGGCCTTGTAGGGCCTCACTCTTTTTTTCTTAAACCTTTTTTTCTAATGGCTCTAAGGACACGTAAGTGTTAAACCCCTACCCTCTTGAGAAAGAGGGAGGAACATAATGATCCCACCCAAGGTGAGATGGCTTTTACTTTTTTTCTTCTTTTTTTTTGGCTTATACTTAATAACTTTGCATTTATAGTATATGTTTACTAGGCGTACCACCTCATAGGGCCTAAGTGGATTCTACAAGCACTATGCATATAATAGAATTACTTTTGTTGGAAAGCAAGATTTGGTTGTATCTATATGGAGTAATAGAAAATCTACAAACTCAAAAATTAAAAAGAAAAAGCCAAAATAGAATCACTCTCCATAATAATCTGTTATACAAATTAGCTTAAAGATAAAATAAGTATGAACATTACCTCTTTAGGCTCCATGAAGAGTTAGTACAATAAAATAGCATTTGTATTGATAGCCATTGCCTTATATGTGGAGAGCTTGGTGAGATTATAGTTTAGCCAAGTAGGAATCATCAAAACCTACATTAGTAGAAAAAAAAGAAAAAGAACAAGATCATCAATGACAAACCCTTAATCTCCAAAAGATACCATCATCATTTAATTTTAGCAACCTAATGGGAGGTGAAAGCGAAGAGCATAAATATCTTAGAGGCTTTTGAGACTTTTGTTTCTAGATAACTAAAAAACTGCTATGTCTAGACAAGGATGGAATAGAATGTTGGAGACCTCTTTTTCTCTTAATCTCCTATGCAAGTCTTAACCCAATCAGATCAGTTTGTTTCTCATGAAAATAAAATCCTTCTAACCAAATAGACTGAATATTTGTACGGAACACTTTCATATTCAAATCCTACATCGAAAAAAATATGTGGATTATTATTCTTTTATATAAGTACTCAGTCCCAAACTATCAATAAATTGAGTTTG